TGATATTTATTTGAGAGTATTTAGCATTTATTTGGTGTTCTTTTAGTCTTACGCTAATGTTACGTCCCGTCTGTCCAATGCAGCATCTGCCACATAAGAAATTAATCCGATACACACCTTCTGTTGATAACTTCGTAAATTCATCTTTAGTACAAGAATCGCATATTCTTGGTTCTTTCGGTAAAGTCACGTAGAAGGGAAATAATAAAATAAAAATAAAAATATCTAAAATATTATTCTCACGACGTTTTTTTTGTTCAAATTTTCTTGCTGTGGATTTCACACCTGATGATGATTGCTTCTGTTGCAGCCGAAACGTCGTGAGAATTGTATTGTTTGATATTTTTATTATTTTATTGTTTCCCTTCTACGTGACTTTACCGAAACAACCAAGAATATTAATCCCTGCAGTCACGAAAGCTTTAAATCGAAATTTGACAAGATACTCGTTTTTTTAGTTTGTGTACAGTGCCCAGTCGTACTTAGATTTTTAGTTTTCCAAAACTCGAGCTCATTTATAAGCTACTCACGCAATATATGGTATGTTAGTTGTTTTAATAACCTGATCGCTTCAAGCAGTATTGCTGTTCGATCTTGGTTTGGCATTGAATGCTCTGTTAATTTGAGCATCGTTGTAGCCATTTAATCGTAACGCTTCTTTAACATGTTTAATCTCTCTCCTCAGACTTTCACCATCTGACACTGTTTTAGCCCGATGTATGGGCGTCTTGATGAGAGAGGATTTCTGTGCGGGGTGATGATGCGAATCTGCATTCAGATAGGCATCAGTGTGTGTTCCCTTTCGATAAACGCTTTGTGTTATTTGACCATTTAGGCCGCGTCCGAGCAAAATTTCCAGGAATGGGAGTGTGTTGTTCACTTCCATTTCCATGGTGAACTGCATGGCTGGGTTTTGCGAATTGAGATTATTTAGAAATCCATTAAGTGTATCTTTACCATGTGGCCAGACAACCACAGTGGCAACCACATATCTAAACCAAAAAGATGGTTTTAATGTACTTGAAGCAAGTGCTCTTGTTTCAAAGTTTTCCAAGTACAGATTCGTAATAGGAGGAGACAAAGGAGAGCCCATTGCTGCCCCTTCCTTTTGTTTAAAGTAATCACCTCTCCGTAATAAATGTGTTATTTAGACATTGGGCAGCTAGTTTATATTTTGGTAAACCTGTCTTATTTATTCGGGGTTCGAGTAATTTAAGTGACTCGTTAATCGGAACCTTTGTAAATAGAGAAATTACATCAAAGCTCACCAGAGTATCATCAGGGTTAGATTTAATATATTTAATCACATTCACACGATGTTCTGAATTTCTTATGAATGAAGATGTCCTACCGATGCAGGGCTGTATTTGTTTAGTCACATATTTAGCTCATTTATATATGGCAGAGCCTATTGTACTTACTATGGGTCGTAATGGGATACCGATTTTATGAATCTTTGGTAGCCCCGTACAGTCGAGATGGTTTTGAGGCCCTTGGCTTAATTTGGTATTTCTCAGCCTCGGGAATTAATAAATGTGCGATGATTGCAGTAGTCTTACGCTCTAAAAAATTAGTTGAATCTCGTTTAATTTTAATATAGGTTCTTTCCTCCAGTAGATCTTTAATTCAATTATCATAACCCGCTCGTGACATCGTCACAGTCGTGCGGCCTTTATCAGCCGACAGAATTCGGAAATATTTATTTGATCGAAGCTCTCTTGATGCCGCTGGTTCGCTGAAGCTAACAATTATTTTTGCTACTTTGCTATTCAGTTTAACACGTAGCAGGCTTTCGCGACCAATATTATTCATAATCAACGTTTTTGGGTTTAGATCGCGTTATTTATAAATGTGTGGTAACCCTCCACCACCCTCCACCCATGCAAAGTGGCGTACTCACTTTATCTACCCCTCAGGAATAATGGGGTTAAGTAAACCCCCTGGCTCTTCCACTGAGCCACCTGGCTGGATTAGTTTGTTGTGAAGGAGAGCATCGAGTGGCATTGGGAGAATGATTTTAATGAACGCCTGCAAATGCCAGTGAAGTGTATTTCGACAACAAACGGCAACTATTAAAGTTGTGACAGATAAGAGTTAACACTTTTTGTTGTATTCAATTGAACAATGTTACGAGAGCTTGGGTAGAAGAGAACGCTGGATGGGGGGGGGGGGTTACAGAGTGCAGCGGCGTGTGAGACATCGCAGAGAGGGAGGAAGTAATGTGGTGTGTGGGTTAGTGAGTGTGTGGGTTAGTGAGTGAGTGTGTGGGTGAGTGTGTGAGTGAGTAAGTGTGTGGGTTAGTGAGTGTGTGGGTTAGTGAGTGAGTGTGTGGGTGAGTAAGTGTGTGGGTTAGTGAGTGTGTGGGTTAGTGAGTGTGTGGGTTAGTGAGTGAGTGAGTGTGTGGGTGAGTGTGTGGGTTAGTGAGTGTGTGGGTGAGTGTGTGGGTGAGTGTGTGGGTTAGTGGGTGTGTGGGTTAGTGAGTGTGTGGGTTAGTGAGTGTGTGGGTTAGTGTGTGGGTGAGTGTGTGGGTGAGTTTGTGAGTGATTAAGTGCGTGGGTTAGTGAGTGTGTGGGTTAGTGAGTGTGTTGGTTAGTGAGTGTGTGGGTTACTGAGTGTGTGGGTTAGTGAGTGTGTGAGTGAGTGTGTGAGTTCGTGAGTGTGTGGGTTAGTGAGTGTGTGGGTTAGTGAGTGTGTAGGTTAGTGAGTGTGTGGGTTAGTGTGTGGGTGAGTGTGTGGGTTAGTGAGTGTGTGGGTGAGTGTGTGGGTTAGTGAGTGTGTGGGTTAGTGAGTGTGTGGGTTAGTGTGTGGGTGAGTGTGTGGGTTAGTGAGTGTGTGGGTGAGTGTGTGGGTTAGTGAGTGTGTGGGTTAGTGAGTGTGTAGGTTAGTGAGTGTGTGGGTTAGTGTGTGGGTGAGTGTGTGGGTTAGTGAGTGTGTGGGTGAGTGTGTGGGTTAGTGAGTGTGTGGGTTAGTGAGCGTGTGGGTTAGTGTGTGGGTGAGTGAGTGGGTTAGTGAGTATGTGGGTGAGTGTGTGGGTTAGTGAGTGTGTGGGTTAGTGAGTGTGTGGGTTAGTGAGTGTGTAGGTTAGTGAGTGTGTGGGTTAGTGTGTGGGTGAGTGAGTGGGTTAGTGAGTATGTGGGTGAGTGTGTGGGTTAGTGAGTGTGTGGGTTAGTGAGTGTGTGGGTTAGTGAGTGTGTAGGTTAGTGAGTGTGTGGGTTAGTGTGTGGGTGAGTGTGTGGGTTAGTGAGTGTGTGGGTGAGTGTGTGGGTTAGTGAGTGTGTGGGTTAGTGAGTGTGTGGGTTAGTGAGTGTGTGGGTTAGTGTGTGGGTGAGTGAGTGGGTTAGTGAGTATGTGGGTGAGTGTGTGGGTTAGTGAGTGTGTGGGTTAGTGAGTGTGTGGGTTAGTGAGCGTGTGGGTTAGTGAGTGTGTGGGTACGTTGAGGGGCAGAGTGTATGGTGCAGTCATTGAGTGGGTGAGCGTGTCGGTGAGTGTGTAAGTGTGTGCGTGAGCCTGTGAGTGTGTGGGTTAGTGAGTGTGTGGGTTAGTGAGTGTGTGGGTTAGTGAGCGTGTGGGTTAGTGAGTGTGTGGGTACGTTGAGGGGCAGAGTGTATGGTGCAGTCATTGAGTGGGTGAGCGTGTCGGTGAGTGTGTAAGTGTGTGCGTGAGTGTTTGGGTTAGTGTGTGGGTGAGTGAGTGGGTTAGTGAGTATGTGGGTGAGTGTGTGGGTTAGTGAGTGTGTGGGTTAGTGAGTGTGTGAGTTAGTGAGCGTGTGGGTTAGTGAGTGTGTGGGTACGTTGAGGGGCAGAGTGTATGGTGAAGTCATTGAGTGGGTGAGCGTGTCGGTGAGTGTGTAAGTGTGTGCGTGAGCCTGTGAGTGTGTCGGTGAGTGTGTAAGTGTGTGCGTGAGCCTGTGAGTGTGTGGGTTAGTGTGTGGGTAAGTGATTGAGTGAGTGAGTATGTGGGTGAGTTGGTGGGTGATTGAATGAGTGAGTGTGTGGATGAGTGGGTGAGTGTGTGGGTGAGTTGGTGGGTGATTGAGTGAGTATGTAGGTGAGTGAGTGGGTGAGTTTGTGGGTAATTGACTGAGTGGGTGGGTAAGTGAGCGGGTGAGTGTGTGAGTGAGTTGGTGGGTGGTTGAGTGAGTGTGTGGGTGAGTTGATGGGGAATTGAGTGAATGAGTGTGTGGCTGAGTTGGTGAGTGATTGACTGAGTGAGTTGGTGGGTGGTTGAGTGTATGGCTGAGTTGGTGGGTGATTGACTGGGTGAGTTGGTGGGTGGTTGAGTGAGTGAATGAGTTATATTTTTACACACTGCAGCAGGTACTCACTCAGCCTTAAACTCGAAACAGCACCTGGTGTGGTGTGCAAAGAGCCAGCACTGGGGAGACAAAGGCGGCCGGGCTTGGTTCTGGCCACCTCACCCCCCTCGTGTGCCGTGCAAAGTCTTAGAAGTGCCCGCTCGTAGCATTCGCCCCAACACTCTGTTCATGCGGAACAGGGGAACCTTAAATTTCGATTTAAAGCTTTCGTGACTGCAGGGATTCATCTTCTTGGTTCTTTCGGTAAAGCCACGTAGAATGGAAATAATAAAATAAATATAAATAAAACATAATAAAATAATGCTCACGACGTTTCGCCTGCAACGCAAGACGCTGTCTTCTCGACAGACCTGTTCTCCACCTGAGGACGGCTGCTTGCGTTGTGGCCGAAACTTCGTGATAATTATTTTATTATGTTTTATTTTTTTATCATTTCCATTCTACGTGACTTTACCGAAAGAACCAAGAAGACAGGGGAACCTTGTTTTTGTGGTGTGCATCGGAACCTGTGTGTGTATGTGTATGTGCGTGCGGCTTATTGCTTCATACTCGCTAATGCCACTTTGCCCGTGATGAGAAACATTGGGTTACGTCACGGAAATGTCAATGCGGCGTTAACGCGGCAACGTCACCAGCGAAACGTCGTTAACTGACTTTGTAAATTGTCGTGCGTTTACTCTCCAACAGAGGTCGAAATCGGGTACCCGATACCCGTACCCTACCCAATACCCGAGTACCCGTTTGCGACCCTGGTGCGGCCGGTTACGGGTACGGGTAGGCCGTGAGTCACTGGTGAGTCACCGTTTGTCACTCATTTCGGGTAGGGTACGGGTACGGATAGGGAACGGGTACCCGTACTTTGAGATTTGAAGCTTTCGTGACTGCAAGGATTCATATTCTTAGGTTTTTTCGGTAAAGTCACGTAGGTAAAACCAGGCCGGGTACGGGTGCGGGTACCCATTTGCGACCCTGGTGCGGCCGGGTACCGGTACGGGTAAGGAATCAAAACCCGTTTGCGACCTCTGCTCTCCAACACGCCGGCGTGCTGAAGCGGCTACGTGACAAACCTTACTCGTTGGCTGCATCGGGTGGCGGCGGGTTGACGACACATTTATATTTACTGCGATCTAACCCAAACAAATACTTCGTCGTGGATGGTATTGCTGCGCGAAAGCTTACTGCGCATTAAACTGAACCCTGGCCCCAACAGCCTGTTGAGGCTATGCAGGGAAGGGAGAAGCTTTGTCTTTCAAGTTCAAGTTCATTTATTAGGTATAGCCATGTGAGGCATTCGGCTCTTAAATCAGGTGCAACCGCAACAAACAAAAAACAAAAACATGAACAAGAAAACATTTTAAAATGACTAAGTGCAAACAGAAAATCCAAGAAAAGACAGCAAAATATTGCAGAAAAAAAGCACCGTACACCAACGGTGTGTGCAAAAATCCCAGTGGGATGCAAGTCAAACAACAACAACAACCACAAGACAACTTAGATTAAGGCCATCAGTCTAACTCTGTACTACAACAAACAAACATGGCCAAACCAAAAATCTTTTCGAAAATCACCAAAATAAAGCCATTAAAGCAATGAAACAGTGATCATAGGAACTGTGACCGAATTTTCACAATAAACGACACGTACTACCAAACTCTGCAGCCATAGCTGGCCGCATGAGTCACTCCACAACAGCAGGAGCATCAGTCGGAGTATCAACATTTTTCAACGCACGCATCCATATACGCAGCATATGCGCGTGCACTTGCAAGAAAAGTGCAACCACTTTGTAATGAAACAAAAATTGCATCCACTCGCTCTGGTTATATGTAAATAGTTTACTTCCTGTGTTTTTGTCTTCCTTCGCCCGCCTTTGCCACTTGTTCTGAAGTGGCCTTTCATTTCACGGGGACGGCATTTCTGTAGCAATCCTCGGAGCCGCCATCTGCCCGCGACACGAAGTTATTTGCCGACGAAACCCATCCTCGCTCAAAGCACCACGCTCGCAAGAAGCTACTTGGAGACACGCGATCACATCTCGCGGTAGATGAAATGTAATATGGACCATTTCATAGAGACGTGGTATTATCAGCATCATCATCACGATCAATGGGCAGATATTTCGCCATTCGTATCCACTTTTACGGGTCTGTCTTGTGCCAATGTGCTCAAGCAGTAGGGCGTCTTTCTGCCACCAATATCTCGGCCACTGTTTGCAATGCGTCTAAGTGTTTCAACAATATCCACCACAGGACTTAAATTTCGATTTAAAGCTTTCGTGACTGCAGGGATTCATCTTCTTGGTTCTTTCGGTAAAGTCACGTAGAAGGGAAGTAATAAAATAATAAATAATAAAACATAATAAAATTATTCTCACGACGTTTCGGCCACAACGCAAGCGTCGTGAGAATAATTTTATTATGTTTTATTTTTATTATTTTATTACTTCCCTTCTACGTGACTTTACCGAAAGAACCAAGAAGACACCACAGACTTTTGACAGGCCTCTTTGTCCAGCCAATTCTGGATGAAAGCCACCCCCGTGTTGGGTCAGAGTTGGCCATACATCACCACGGAATTCAGGGCGGGTTGTTAATGTGGGGGAGGAGGAGGGGGGGGGGGTCACATGACGTCACAGAATCTCGGGGTCAAGTGTTGTCAGTGAGCACCTATTATGGCTGTCAAAAGAGCTCGCGAACAAACACCTCGTATTATTCAGTAATACATCTTGCAATTGGAATTCCTTATAGAGGAAACGCATACCAATTAATTCATTACTGATATATTATGTAATTACAATAACCCCCCCCCCTCGTTCGAGTGATCTCTGCACGTGATTGGGTTCAGTGATGACGTCGTCCTGCTGGAATTACCAGCGAAACGTCGTACTACTCAAATTCTAAATGTTGTGGATTTACTCTCCAACACGCCGGTGGGCTGAAGCAGTCACTAATTGGCGCGTTTGGTTCACGTGACAAATGCCCTTACTAATAGGCTGTGTCGGGTGGTGGAGGGTTACGACACAACATTTATATTTCGATTTAATGCTTTCGTGACCGCAGGGATTCATCTTCTTGGTTCTTTCGGTAAAGTCACGTAAAATGGAAATAATAACATAATAAAAAAATTTCAACAAATAAAACATAATCAAATATGTATTTCCATTTTACGTGACTTTACCGAAAGAACCAAAAAGACAACATTTAGACTTACGCGATCTAACTAACTAAAAAAAAAATCCTCAACGCGGCAGATCTCGCCTGGGTGTGATGTTCCACGAAGCTCGCGGTCCACCCCGAACCGCGTGCACTGCACGAACCACGGCATTAGGTGCGCGGATAGCATTTGCACAAATGGAAACTAAAATAAACTCAACTCAACTCTCCAGTAGTGGTGCGACCAGGGCCGGATCAAGGCGTGGGGGGCTTTAGGGGCTTCAGCCCAGAGAGAACCTCTGCCAGCTGGAAGCAGTCTCCAGAGATTGAGTGGAAAAGTGATTTCATTTGCGAACGCGGAATTTAATTTGTTGTTAGCCTCGTAAAAAAATCAATTATATTTTTCTTTTAACTTTATTTTCCTTTTGGAAAATATTACTGGGGGGCCCCTCACAGTACCTGCAGGCCCGGGGCCTACACAATATGAACCCGGCCCTTGGGTGCGACTGTGGTCATCCAGAACAGACCGGACACGATTTAAACGACGCGATGCCATATTCAAGAAGCAGAAGAAGATTGCTGTTACAACGCGCACAAGGGTGGTACGGAGTAGCACCCCATTCCCAGACGTTTTCGTCTCGCCAGCGGTGATGCTCTCACAGAGCGAATCAGCTTCTCAACACCGAGCTGATAGGGCCTAGCGGAGACCTCAGGGCCCGATTTAAAGCTTTCGTGACTGCAGGGATTCATCTTCTTGGTTCTTTCGGTAAAGTCACGTAGAATGAAAATAATAAAATAATAAAAATGAAACATAATAAAATAATTCTCACGACGTTTCGGCCACAACGCAAGCAGCCGTCCTCAGGTGAAGAGCAGGTCTGTCGGGGAGCTTCAGACGCTGTCTTTCCGACGGACCTGTTCTCCACCTGAGGACGGCTGCTTGCGTTGTGGCCGAAACGTCGTGAGAATTATTTTACTATATTTTATTTGTATTATTTTATTATTTCCATTCTACGTGATGACTTTACCGAAAGAACCAAAAAGATGCACCTCAGGGCCCGTTCAGAGATGACTCTTTGCCAACGATGTTAACAGCGGAAGGGGACTCGAACAGAGGTTGCTGGATTCATAGCACGGCACTCAAATGCCTCGCCATTCCAGCGTGTCGCGTGTGAACGCGCACGACAATTTTGATTTAGTCGTCCCCTACGCAATAAGGCATACCAACAGCATTCCAATTCGCTTGCCTTGAGCAGACGTTCATTAAACCATCGCAATTCCGCTTGAGTTATTCCAATACCAACAACAACAACAACAAAAAATCACATCGGGCCGCGTGATTGTGTTCAGGCGTACGAAGAGCAGCTCACAATCCGAGAGGGGGGGGAGCTATGAGTTCAACTCCTGGTTGGGGGTGTTTGGGGGGTTTGCCCCCCCCCCCCGCCCCCCCCAGTCATCTCTTCCTATTTCTAGCGATCATCCCTCACTCCACGGGTGGCAGCGGGGCGGGGGAAGAAGCCGATTCAACGAGTAGCATTCTGTGGGGGGATGTCTCTCTGTGTCTCTCTGTGTCTGTCTCCGCCTCTCTCTGTCTCTCTCCGCCTCTCTCTGTCTCTCTCTGTCTCTCTGCCTCTCTCTGTCTCTCGCTGTCTCTGACTCTCTCTCTGTCTGTCTCTGTCTCTCTCTGTCTCTCTCTGTCTATCTGCCTCTCTCTGTCTCTCGCTGTCTCTGACTCTCTCTGTCTGTCTCTGTCTCTCTCTGTCTCTCTCTGTCTATCTGCCTCTCTCTGTCTCTCGCTGTCTCTGACTCTCTCTGTCTGTCTCTGTCTCTCTCTGTCTCTCTCTGTCTATCTGCCTCTCTCTGTCTCTCGCTGTCTCTGACTCTCTCTGTCTGTCTCTGTCTCTTTCTGTCTCTCTCTGTCTATCTGCCTCTCTCTGTCTCTCGCTGTCTCTGACTCTCTCTGTCTGTCTCTGTCTCTCTCTGTCTCTCTCTGTCTATCTGCCTCTCTCTGTCTCTCGCTGTCTCTGACTCTCTCTGTCTGTCTCTGTCTCTCTCTGTCTCTCTCTGTCTATCTGCCTCTCTCTGTCTCTCGCTGTCTCTGACTCTCTCTGTCTCTGTCTCTCTTTGTCTGTCTCTGTCTATCTCTGTCTGTCTGTCTCTGTCTCTCTCCCTCTCTCTTTCTCCCTCTCTCTCAAAATCTCGATGCGATCATCGCGTATCGCCAAGGCCACCGCGAAGGCCACGAGGAGGGGCTTAGAGGAAGCGACATTCACGCGAGAGATCTTCAGGGAGCGGTGGTGCAGCGGTTAGCGCTACGCTGCGCTACGAACCCGGCGACCCGAGTTTGATTTCCGCTCACGGCCAACACCGGTGGCGATTGTTGGAACCGATGATAGGCCTCCTCTCGGTCAACTCAGCCTCAAAATGAGTACCTGGTGCTGTGTGTCGCCACTGGGGAGACAAAGGCGGCCGGGCGTGGTGTTGGCCACCCACCCCCTCGTGTGCCGTGTCGGTCTTTATAGGTGCTCGCTAACAGCACTTGCCCCTACAGTCTGCTAAGAAAATAACGGGGCATCTTTGTCTTTGTTGGCACAGTAGGGGACACAGGTGGTGCATCAGCCAATAATCTCAGTCAGTGGA